CCCTTTTTGAGAAAAAGTCGAGCGTGAGCCAAAAAAATTGTTTAAAATTAAAACCTACATAATTTAAGCTAACACAGCGGTACCTCTGAGCATAAAAGCCCAGTAAACAAACTGATTTGCCCGTAATTCTTTAAGTGACAGGGTCGGCAGTGTTAAAAGGGGCAGGGGAAGCGAAAAGCAGAAGACCCGCTGATAATAAATGCACAGCATCAAGAAGGCGCGATATTGTTTACTGCTCAGTCAGAAGACTCTGTTTCGGACCCAGAACTCGAACTCTCACTTTCACTCGAACTCTCTACCTTCCTTTCAGTTTTGGAGTCAGCCTTTGAAGGAGGCTTCTTCGGTGGTTCCGCCGCCTTGGACTCGGAACTCTCACTCTTTTTCTTATCTTCACTTTTGGCGTCAGCCTTTGTAGGAGTTTTCTTCGGGGGCTCCTCTGTTTCGGATTCACTTTCCGTCTCAGAGGACTCAGATTCAGAAGATGTTGACTCCGCTTTGGAAGACGCTGTCGGTTTTGCGGTAGTTTTTGCCTTTTCAGAAGCTTCCGATTCCTCGCTCTCGCTACTGGATTCAGATGCCTTTGCATCCTTTTTGGTTTTACTAGCGGTTGCAGAGACCTTCTCCTTTTTCGACTCCTCGGAAGATTCTTCACTTTCCGACTCTGATGACTCTTTTTTGGTTTTGGCTTCTGGCTTAGCCTTTTCTTTCTTCTTGTCCTTGGCTTTCTTATCATCTTTCTCTTCCTCAGAGAAACTCGACTCAGATTCGGTGGAAGAGGACTCCTTTTTCTTTTCTTCTTTAGGCTTTTCTTCTTTGGCCTTCTTACCATCTTTCTCTTCCGCAGAGGAATCCGACTCGGATTCGGCGGAGGAAGACTCTTTTTTCTTTTCTTCTTTAGCCTTTTTTCCGGCACCATCAGACGGCTTTGACTTTTTCTTCTTCACTTTTTTATCTCCTGATTTAACTGCTTCATCGGACTCTTTGCCACCCGACTTTGCTTTCTTTTTGTCAGAGGCTTCTGAGCTGTCGCTTTCAAAAGAGTTCTTTTTGCGTTTTGAACTAGTAGACGAACCTTCCTCTGATTCACTTTCGGAAGTGTGAGAAGCTTCATCATCCGATTTTTCCTTTAAAAGTAGAATAAAAAGCGAGTCCTACCTTCTTCGGAGCAGACTCAGTTGATGGTGCCTAGAACGGTCAAGGACGTATTACAAGTGAGCGGGCATCTGGTGCAAATTCGACATGCAGCATGCGACATGCGCGCGACAAGAGCCAATGAGTTTACGTGCACTTGCAATACCTCCGATTGAGAGATAATTTCGTCAAATGTTTTCTATGAAGAAAGGATGAACCGGTAGCTA